AATTTTTTGGATGTTACGATCAGAGTTGAGGAGGGCGGTGTCAAATTTGATAATTATAAAAAACCGACGAATTCGGGAAGGTATTTGAGTTACAAATCGCATCACCCTAATGAACATAAGAAAGGTGTTATTATAAGTCAATTTGAATTCTTTTTCTTTCACATCCGGATTATCATAGGAGGAACATAAAAAATTTAATTAATGTTTTGCTTTTGAACGGTTATCCGTTGAACATAATATTCTCTACTATAAATTATAGAATAAAAACTTTATCGGAAAGAAAGAATTTGTATAATAACAAGAAGAATGTTAACAAAAAAATAGAGGATAGTAATTTAATAAAAAAATATTTTACAATACCTTACATACAGAACGTTTCTGAAAAATTTAAGCGCATTGCAGACAAAAATAATTATAAAATAGCATATAAACCGATTAACACCTTAATTTCAGTTATTAAATTAGGTAAAGACAAACTGGAAAAAATGGAAAGTTCTCAGGTGGTATACAAGATTAATTGCACAAATTGTGATTCAACATATGTAGGTTAGACAAAAAGGAAATTAGGTACTAGGATAAAGGAACATAAAGCTGATATTAAGAAAACAAAGGATACTCGTTCGGTTGTTTCGGATAACCAAGTGAAATTAGAACATAATTTAGATTGGGAAAATATTCAAATACTTGACACAGAGCTATTCTTTCAAAAAAGACTCACGTCAGAGATGATTTGTATTAAAAGACAGATTAACGGCATGAACAAAGCCATTCTTTCAAAAAAGACTCATGTCAGAGATGATTTGTATTAAAAGACAGATTAACGGCATGAACAAGCAGACAGACACAGAGAAAATAGAGAAATTTCTAGAATCATATTTTCCTTTGTTAAATATCTCTTAAATATAACGGCTTCCCTCTCCACTTGTTTACGATTTATATAAGTTGGAGATATACGTTGAGATGTTAGTTTGTCATCACAATTTGTAAGATACTGAAAGTTATCCACGTGACGTTATGGACTCGATTATAAGATAGTGGAACATAGGTGCGTTTTAAGATATAACAGACTTAATTGTTTCTTTTGTATTAATAATAGTGTTATTACTAGAATCAGGAAGTTGTGTTCTATCATTGAATTTATGCTGAGCTGCGATGTATTAAGAAAAGAAATGACTGGTAACGTTAAATTAACATAATCGCACAGATATGTGATAAGAAAATAATTAAAATAAATTCTAGTTTTATTTTGGAATATTAAAGATTAAAAAAAAATTTGATAGAATCTGGTAACTCTGGCAGCAAGGATTTTTTGATGTGACAAAGCAGATTAGCAAAATGTGAAGCATAAGTGACGGAAAAAATTCATGACTTCCGTTTTTAGGAGAAAAGAGAGAAAAACAAATTTTTTTATGTAATGACAGAAGCTAAAAATTATATGACTAGAAGTTATTTTTAAGTAAGATTGACGGCTTAACTAAATTGTATAATTATGTTGCGTATGTTAAGATCATTCTAATTAATTATAATAGTACTGTTAATACTGAAGATGGTCCGATTGGGACCGAAACGTTTATTTTTAATTCCATGTGTTTAATAAAGGATTTGAAATAATCGCCACTGCTATCTGGTGTTCGTGATATATGCCTTTCAGACAAAGAATTGTTTTGTAATAATTCTTGGTTCAACACTTTTGTTTCGAGGCTTCATCCACCTTTCCTCCATGCAGTCGGGTGAAAAATGACGTACTTTTATAAAAAATATAAGTTCAATACGTATAAAAACTTTTATAAACAACTATTACTCTCATAAGAATTCGATTTCATTTGCAAATGACCTTTAATTTGCATTTTACAATAAATAATTATCTAAACAATATATACATTTTTAAAAGAAATTTACCATATTTCATATTCAATTTCTTTTCTCTTCGATTGATAGTTTGCAGCCATGCTTTTTTTAAGGTTTGATTCTTTGGAAACCAAAAAATTTTGTATTTTTAGCTTTTGATGCTCCACTCGATCTTATTTTGCAATGACGCACACTGTACTGCCGCATGATGCCTTAATTTTTGTAGTTATAATATAAAATTAGATTTTAATCATTTAATTTAATTTACAAGGAATGACGCAGTGATGCTAGACGCTACTTAATAGACAAGGATAGACTAATAGCTCCGGCACACTAGAGTCCTAGATTTATCAGAGACCTCTGCTACACGGCACGCTTAATCGGGTTTAATAACATCCGTAGTTGTGAAATTGGCAATCATAGCTTTTCCTCGGGAGAATGGAATGATTGTGATTGGCCAATTTCATAACTACAGATGTTATTAAACTCGATCAATAAGGCCCGTTTCTACCAATGCAGTTTAAAGAGTTAATCCCTAGTGACATTTGGTTAACCGAAGTTTAGCAGAATATTGATTTCAACCAACAATTTATTCAAGTTTAAACTTATGTAAACTGAGTTCAATTTAAGCGGTCGATTTTGGCCGTTTAGGCGCTTTAACTGTCGGTTAAAAATGTAACTAGCCTATTCTGATATAAGAAAATAGATCTTAACTTATATATATTTCAGATATGGCAAATTTATTTAATCTTGTACTGTCATCCTCCGATGATGATGAAGAACAATTCCGAAGAAGAAGTAAATTTAAACAACGTATAAATTACTTTGACGAATTAGATGATATAGAATTTAAAATGCGATTTCGATTAAACAAACAATCAGTATTATTAATATTAGAAGAAATAAGACAAGTTTTAGAATTTGTTACTAACCGGTAAGTTTAAATTATTGTATAATTAAATTGTCAAGCAAGAATTATTAAGAAAACGAGAATACACAATATTTTTTTTTAGGAATAATGCCATATCTCCTATGGAACAATTGTTATTAACACTTCGCATGTATGCTACTGGATCATTCCTTATAACAATGGGTGATTTTTCTGGTATAAGCACAACATCCGCGCATTATGTAGTTCACAGAGTCAGTGCAGCTAGGCTACGATCTCGTTATATCAAGTTCCCAAGTACCGAATAAGAAATAAGAAAAAAACAATTAGATTTTTATAATATTGCTCGCTTTCCAAGGGTCATTGGTTGTATAGATTGTACACATGTACGTGTCCAATCTTTTGGTAAGTTATTATCAAGAGGATATATTATTTTAATTATTTTATCTAAAAAGTAATTTATTATTATATTATATTTATATTTTGATTATTGTAGGCGGGGAAAATGCTGAACTATTCCTCAACAGAAAAGATTACTTTTCTTTAAATGTTCAAACAGTATGTAATAGCAATTTAGAGATAACGAATGTAGTTGCTCGTTGGCAAGGATCAGTACATGATAGCACTATTTTTAATAATAGTCGCTTGCGAGCAAACTTTGAAGATGGAGCATACGGTAATGGTTTATTATTAGGAGACTCTGCTTAAGCCAAATTTGTATCCGGAAAGATATATGTATTGGAAATAAAATTCTAAATAAATAATGAGTTAATAGATAAATGTTCGTGTGTGTATATTTATGTGGACATGTGCGAAAGAAGAGAATTAAATAAAAAGCTACGAACTACATTGTGTAATTTAGTTTGTTATAAAATATATATTTAACTCAAATATATATTTTTAAATATTATACATAAGTAACATATATAATATTTTTAAACATTTATTGTTTAACAGAACATAATTAATATTATTTTAATATCACAAAAACAGGAACATTTTACTTTTTAAACTAAAATATGTAATTATTAGAATAATGTGGATACATTTCTTTTCTTATTTTTCTTAAAATATTTGAAAATATTAGCAGAACATGTTTTTAAGAACTCTGTATTTTATAGAAAAAATTATAAATTAATATTTTGAAACCCTATTGTGTTGTGCAAATAAAATTAAGTAAATACTTTTTTTATGATTTTAAATTGTTATAAAGTAGATATATGAAGTACATTAATAATCTTTTGACCCGTTATTTATTAAGTTTGGTTAACTAGTATTGAAGTAATCGTATTTCATATAGAGTCAGATCGTGGCGGGTAACTGTGCGCAGGCGGTTTGAA